TAGGCAGTGGTAAGAACCAGTCTTGCCTTGCCCTGTAGACCCCTGGTTACAGATCTTATAGGAGAACGTCTTTATTTGATTTCAGCTCACCCATTCTGTTTTAAAACCAAACATGGATGTGGATGGAGTTATTGAGAAAGTAGAACGTGGACGGTGCAGATGATTGCGAGGCAGTGTGAATGCACTTATGCCATTGGATTGGACCCTGAAAGGTGGATACAACGGTAACTTTTATGTTATTTCTATTTCACCACAATTTCAAAAATACAAATATGGGTGTATCTTTATAACAAGAAGAAGTCTGAGTAGGTACTTATGAGGTTAGTTCAGCATCGCTAGGATCTCAGAGTTCTGCCTTTAGAATCGTAACAGGATGGCTTCATGATACTTGCCTCTGCAACTTAAATCTCATGTGCTCAAGGGAGGAAGGAGGGAAAAGTCGATGCTAGCTAGTCACGACTCTACATTTTTTTAGGTTAAAAACCCCAGCAGGACCTTTTTTCTTAAAGATTTATTTATTTATGCATACAGAGCTGGGATAGAAGCCAGAGGTGTAGGGATGCTGAGAGGATTCTCCAGAGACAGATTGGGAAGTAGAACAGGCAGACTGATGAAGTATACAGCTGAGGGGAGCAGCAGGCAGGTCAGGAAAGGTCTGCTGTGCCATGTGGGTCACCTCCTTGGCTGGGGATAGAACTCATGCTGAAGCAATTGTGGCGGCTTCCTAATGCTGCACTTTAACCCATTGCACCACCAGGGAGGGCCCAGAACTTTCTTACATCTGAATGTCCAGACTTGGGTCTTGAGGTCCTCATGGTTGATTTCTTAACTTCCCAATCTTAGAGTCAAGGAGAGACATCAAGTTGGGGGACAGTCACCCAGTGGTGTCACACACCCTGCTGGTCACAGGCCACATCTTGGGGCTTGCTAGAACTAGGGTTCTGGTGTCTACCCCCAATTCTGAGCTAGTTTACTAGTACATTTGACTCTTTGTCTAGGATTAGATTCCCAGTTTCAAAGATACTGCATACCTGAAAGTTATTAAGAGTGTAGCTCCTGAAAGTCCTCATCACAAGAAGGAAAAAGTGACTTTGCAATCAGGTAAGGGGACTTATGTCAGCTAGACTTATGGTGGGGATCATTTTACAGTATATACAAAGTATCACATCAAGTCACATGCCTGAAACTAATATAATGTTTTATCTCAGTTATAGTTCAATTAAAAAAAAAGCACATTAAAAATGTTTTATCAGGTTTGGGATCTCTAGTATGTTCATCTCTAGCATGTTCACTTCCACAAAGGGTCCTCCACCCACCTTGGAAGATTTCACTTACAACTCAAGTCCAATGCATAGAACTAGAATATGAATTTATTAAGGGAAATTCACATTACAATAGTTTAAGAATACAATTCAATTGGGACAACTGGGGGAAGGCTTGGGAAATGCACATAGTATTTGGGACGCTGTTGGGGGAATTTCTGGAGTCTGGACTCTTGCAGGGAAGAGAGGGTCACTTGCAGGGAGGAAGCCAGAGCTCCTGGAGGGTCTCATTAAAACTTGGAGGTTTCAGGACTACAAATGCGGATTCCAGCAGTATCTCAAGCTGCCCCAAATTTGGTGCCAGTATTTATACTACTTTTCCAAGGCATGCTGTCAGGATCACCTTTTCGTTTTGATTTAGAAGGGGCCTCTCAGCATGGGGTTTTATCTGTCCTTCCCTTTTGCCTGTGTATGTATCAGTATCTTCATAAACAAGTGGTTGCCTTTTAAATGATAATTTAAGTCGCTCTATCTTAATTGTCCACCTCTCCATTGTCAAGGGCATTACAATGTCAGTGTAGATGACTATCAGAACAATGACATGGAGGTACAGCTGCAGAAGAGGGGAAAAAGGACAAAGAGGGAAAAAGGATGAAGAGGAAAGCCCTCCATTGCATGTTCCGAAGGAAGTGACATCAGTTGCTCAGAGGTCATGTCAGGAGAGCACTGGGTCGGGAGGGCCCAGAACACTAGAGCTCTGCCCCAGGCTGGTCAGAAGTTTTAGCAAAGATTCTCAGGTTTTGTTCTTATGAAAAGTGATTTTTTTTTTCTTGGTTAATATTGCTCATTAAATGCCTATTAGGTGTTTTGGTAAATCTAGATGAAAGCTCTGTAGGAGGACACATAGTTATTAAGCAACCACATACTATCAAGGATGGGCTTATAACACAAAATGATGGGTTTCAAATGTTGGATCAGGATGACAGGAGCTTCCTACCTTTGCTCCCTACCAAGATCAGAGTAGATTCAGGGCTTAAATAAGGAATGTAAATAAACATCCCTATTATAATCACCTTGCCATTCAAGGATGCCCAGATGTGCTCACTTTTTAAGTTAGTAGATTTCATTCTCTCCCATCTCATCACTAGCTCTTTCCAGGGGAGACACCCAGGGAACTGGAAGGGCTTGCCATGGGTGTGGAAGGAAACTGGAGTCTCTGGAGAAACTCCTGCAGACATGGGGAGAAGAAACAGACGCCACACAGACGGTGGTTCAGGCCACAATGGATTGGTTTCTTTTTCTCATCAATGTTAAAACAAAACATTGTTCAAGGACCCACTCACTGTACTGTGATTTTTTTTTTTTTAGCATTTAGCTGTATGGAAGTTAACATTTTACCCATCTCTTAAATTGTGCCAGGAGTGAGCATCTGGGGACAGTAACCAAGGTTTTTGGGGGACTCCCCCATCTCCAAGGGATATCCAGGCAAGTGACAAAGCCCAGTAAACACTGGAGCTCGGCCTGTGGGACAGGCTGCCCCTGGCTCTTGCAGGTTGGAGCTTTATTTTATGAAGCTGGAGAAACCGGGAGAGTCCATTCCAGGGCAGACAATGAAAGAAGCAAGAACTCCAGGCCCAGATGAAGGAATGATGAACTCAGCGCCCTTGCAAAGGGTCCCGGGGTCAGCTCACAGGGACATTCCCTGAATTCAGCAACACATTCCTGGGAAAAGGCCACTCTGAGTAACTGTAAATGGAATAGTTTCAAGGAAGGGGCATTCTTAAATGGTAGGGGAAGAAAATTCAGTCCTGAGAAACATGGGAACAAGATAACAGAGTCAGTCGAGGAAGCCCAAAATCTTATGACTGAGGAAGCCCAAAATATTACGACAAAGAAGAGATACACTTTTATAAGTTTACTATGAACAGAAATATAAAATGTAAATGTAACAATAAATAGGTCAACAGAAACAGATGTAGTCAGTTTGAACAAAGTACATTGATCACCTACAAGTAGTCCTCTGGTCACACCTCACTCACTGGCAGGCTCATCACATGACAAGTAAGTAATTCTTGAGTGTTTTCTCTGCATCTGTTTGCTTTTTTTGTGTTGCTATTAAGGAGCAAATTCTGACTCTGGAGTTTTTTTACTTCGCTGACACATGATGTCTCTGTGTCTCTCTCCCATCTCTAAAGGGAGGATGAACAGAACTGCAGTTTCTATCTTTTGTTGTTAGGTTTTGCTAACTTCAGGTATCCAAAGACTAAACTTTCAGGAGGGACAGGAGGTTCTGAATGGTCAGCACCACTCCTAGGATATCTTCATAGGTACAGGAACAAAACTCCTTTTTTTTCCAGAAACTTCTCAAGTGGGACTCATGTCTCTATCAATTTACTATTGCCTATGTTCCCAGCCACCATAAATAAATTATGTTGTGGGCCTCAGAGTATTGTATTCCTGCTGGCTGTTATAAAGCAGATGCACATGGTCCTCCCTGGTGGCCTGGAGGTTAAGTTTTAGCACTATTACTGCTTAGGCCTGAGTTTGTTTGGTCCCCTGCCAGGGAAGTGACCCATGTAGTACAGCATCCTCTCCTGTCTTGCCTGCTACTCTCCTCAGCAGTGTATCTCAATAGATCTGTCTATTCTGCTCCCCACTCTGTCTCTGGTGAATCCTCTCACCACCACCCTCCACATCTCTAGCCTGCACCCCAGTCAGTCTATGCAAAAAAGTAAGAAAGAAAAGATGCACTTGCAGTCTTGCTTAAAAAGTTGGTCAGTATAAATAACACATACATTCACATTTTTCATAATAGGCCCCAATTCTTGTGAGCCAAATTATAAGACTGAATCATAACTTAGTATGCAAATGTTAAATAACAGTAATAAGTTAATAAATACATAAATTATTTAAATATTTAAATAACATGAAGGTCACTGGCAACCTGCTAGCTAGACTATAAATAAATTAATTGATTGTTCCGGTGGATATTTAACATTTAAATATTAAAATATAGCAAACACAGTCTCATCTTTAAAAAAATAAAGCAAATCAGGTAGAAAACATCTTCTTGGATCTATTTCATGAAGTCTTTTAAAATGTTTGCATCATCTCTTCCTCCAACGTTTCATCTTGGCATGAGAACCTGAAAAAGAGTGCCAACAGTGTGTGTGTATTAGAAATGTCAGGGCAAATTCATTTCACACTATTACACAGTCTGGATCACTCCTTAAAGTGGCCTGGCTTGCCAGAGGCTTTGTTGAGACTGTTCTGAAAAGAATATGTGATCATGTCGTTTTCCTTGCTTAAAGCCCATCAGTGGCCCCCAGTGCCACCCCTCTATCCACCAAACACACAGTTTCTAACGTTAGGGGACAGCTGTCCAGGCTGGCGGGTGGGGGTTGGGACTAACTCTCTCCCTTCCCATATCTTAGATAGAGGCAGGCTGAAGCTGAACTTCAACGTTAATCTTTTTTTTTTGTTAGCTCTTGCTAAGTACAGGCATCCAAAGCCTAAACTTGCTTAGACTTGCTCCCACATTACCTAAGTGCCCTTGTGCGTAGATCCTGGGACAATATGGTTATCGAATAAATAGCTGTTAATGAACAAGTGTGTGTTTCGGACTATGAAGACCCTGTGCTGATGTCCACTCCCCGCCCTCCTCTCTTGTGGGACCCCACTCTTGTCCTGCACTTGGGAACATATGTAAGTGTGCGAGGGGGTTGTCAACCTGCTCACCTAACTGCAGGACACAGACGCCCATTCGCTCCACCAAGAGCTGTAGTAGCGGTCCCGCGCTTGCACTTGGACTGTGGCATCCTTGTTGCACTTGATCTCGGTGGAGGTTTCATCCGTGAAGGTTCTAATTTTCTGCAACGAAGAGGGACATCTTTGTCTGCAAAGCATGATCTTACCAAACAAGCACACCTTGGTGTCAGGGCACCGGAGCGAAGTCAGAGGGGAGTGTGCAGAACGAGCGCCCCCTACCGACAGAGCTTAAACCGACGCGAGCTCCGGAGGCAGTTTGGCCACGTCGGGTCTTTCCAGCACAGCTGCCTAGTCCAAAAGATCGCGAGCACTAGGTGGGACTGAGACAGATTTCCTCCAATCCCCTGGATAGTGAGAATACCAGAGCCCTATCTTTCATCAGGCCAACTCGGGTTCAAAATCCAGGTATCGCTACTGATAAGCTTTGTTGCCAGAGGAAAAGGTCTGTCTTTGTTTCCTCATTTATAATAATACCTGATAACAATCACACCCACTTCACAGATGGTAAAAGCTAAAGGTAATAACCATGTGCCACTCTTAGCAAAATCTTTAACCATGCATGGCCCTTCCTGGTGGCGCAACAGGTTAAAGTGCAGCACCAAATGAGAGATCAGGGGGAAAAAATAACATCTTAAAATTAAACAAAAAATACAACAAAACTAAACAAATTAAACAGAAAGCTATAATTTGGAGACCTTTTGCAGGGGAAGGCTGAGGGAGAAGATACAAAAAAAACAAAAAACAAAAAAACCAACCAACCAAACAAAAAACCAGGCAGGAAGAGCATCAAGGACTGAAGTGATGGTGCATGGGTGAGTTGGTGGTGGAAATTCTATGGGGACTACATCTGATGTAAAACATATGCAAATAAAGAAATCATAAAAAAAAAAAAAAAAAAAAAAAAAAACAACCCCGCAGCATTATGAAACTATCTGCAGCTATGGCAGCACAAGTTTGATTCCCTGGCCAGGGGGTGACCCACATGGCCCAGCAGACCTCTACTGTCTTGCCCACTGCTCCCTCCAGTATATTTCAGTCATTCTGTCTGTTCTGCTCCCCACTCTATCTCTAGTGAATCCTCTATCCTGTACCCCAGTTCTTGTATGCATAAATAAAAAGTAAATCTCTTTTAGAAAAATCTTTAACCATGTAGAAATTGGTCAGTAAGTATTTCTATTAATGATACAGCCATTAAGTAGGGAAGCTAGAGCTCAAGGTTTAAAGTGATTAGATAATCTCAGATACTCCAGAATAGCCCTTCCCCCTAGAATGAAAAAAAAACTGTCAGTCACTGAGTTTTCTCTCCATGGCAAAAGCTATATTAAATGGGGCTTTTATGCAGCAATTTTAAAATGAGGTTTTTTTAAAAGCAAATTTGAAAGGAGGCTGGAGTGTCTCTGAGATGCTGGGTTGATGAGACCAAGACAAGAAAGTCTGTAAATCATCATCTTAGTCCATGTAAATGGCAACCATCTATTTAATAAAATCAATTCCCCATATGTGGAAGAGCTGGGAGTTATCTGTTTGGAGTCAGACATAGCATTCACTATATTCACTCAGTTGAAACAATAATTTGAAACTCTTAATTAACCTCCCTGGGATTCCATGTGTTCCCTTGTGGTGATAACAATACTGCCTGCCTGTGAGGCATATGAGAGGACAAGGTGAGACACCCCAGTAAACCTTAGCATAGACACGGGCATGCAGGGTCCCCTGAAAATCTTGGTGGTTCTTATCACTTGTTCATCTCCTTGATGTGGGCCTGCATAATCCTGAATATAAGGAATATATAGAATATATTCTATAGTATATACAGAATATTTAGAACTTGAATCACAACATACCCTTTCTTTCTTGTTCTTCTCCAGGACCCGAACACAAAATGTCAGGGAGAAGTAGGAATGTGGGGTGCTCCAGGTGTCAGGGTACTCCCAGTTGACCTCCACATGTTTAGAGTTCTTTAAAGGATTTAGCTGCAGGTTCTTGGGCGGGTCTGGCTTGACTGAAGAAGAAGATAGAAAAATGCCCCTTATTTTCCTGGTGTGACTTGGGCATGAAGTAGGTCTGACTTCAGAACCTACTTTCATCTTGGGCCAGCTGGGTGTCCCCATGATAGTTACTTAACTTCCCTAGTACCTGCTAGCACCTGAGGTGTTGGCGCTGTGGAAGCCACATGAGCCCAATCACCACATCCTTTACAGTTAAACCAGTGCGAGAACTGTCAATCCCCTTCATAGCGCTGAACTGAGAAGCATGCTGAGCTGCTGAATGGGAGTGAGAGATTTCTTACTGTGGCTCTTTTGTCTTTTCGTGGCATCTGGCAGTGACTTGTCCTAATTATAGCTAACTAGTTTCTGTGCAATGGTTCATGCACATATGCAATAAATCATCACTTATGCAATAAATCATCATTGAGCATCCATGACATACCAGCTAGGGACCAGGTATAGGGGTACAGCAGTGAAGGTCTCCAAGTCTGTCCTTACGCAGCTGAAGGAGGATGGTCAAGAAATGTACCGGGCCCTCTAGGTCCAGCCCCACTCCACACAAAGGCCAGGAACCCTGCCGATGCTCTGTGAATGATCTTCCCTTAGTCTCAGCTAAACATCATCTGCCTGAAGAACCATCTCCTGTCCCCCACCCTCATGTGCACCAGATCTCCCCACAGAAGGCAACTCTCCACAAATGCCACAAAAGGCCTGTGGTTCCTTTGCAAGGCATTCCTGGGGCAATTCAGTGGACAAATTGTAAAATCTGCCTATTAGAAATGTCCACTTTGGAGCATTTACATTCTAATCAAGAAGTCTCTTTTCAAATGCTAGAGAAAGCAGTTGGGAATAGGTGGTAGGGTTCAGTAGAAAAGCCCTGGCTCTGAAGAAATATAGTCACTTGTCACATAGGAAGGGGACCCCTTCTGAGAAATGCATTGTTAGGAGAGTGTGTCATTGTCAAATCTCACTGAGTATGAACACACAACCTACACATGAGGTTCCACACACTCAGTACACCAAGTGGGGCTAGTGCTGCATGCTGGCCTCTCCCTGACAGAGGGCTGGCTGTGTTATGCTCCTGGGGCTGCTCTGGGACTCCTCATGGAAACTACCTGGAGCGCTGGGGGGCTTTACCAGTAGGACAGATCTGGGGTTCTGAATGGCTATGAGTGTTCTAACCAAAGACTTAATTTCCAGAGGTCTCCCTGGTGGTGCAAGTTAAGTCTCAGCACTATGAAGCTATCCACAGCCACTGCAGCATGAGTTCGATCCTTTGGCAGGGAGCTGACATACATGGTGCTACAGCCTTTCTTCTTCTGTCTCGCCCACTGCCCACCTCAGCTGTGCACTTCAGTCCATCTGCCTGTTTTGCTCCCCACTCTGTCTCTGGTGAATCTTCTCACCACCCTGCACCTCTGGCCTACACCTCAGTTCTTGTATGCATACATAAATAAAATAAATCTTTAAGGAAAAATAAAAGACTCAATTTCCTTTTCCTTAAAATGCATATGGTAATACCTACAGTGTACTTTGTATTTTTTATTTTTTGGAGTACAGGATCAAAGGGCTAATCCCAGGAGCTCCTCGGCCTAGGGCTGGGGCATTGTGGACACGTGCTGGACAGCAGGCAAGCATATTAGCACATGGAATCACGCAAACTCACTGATGTCCCTGATGAAGAAGCTGCTGGTGTAGTTTTCATACTTGAGCTTGTGAACAGCGTCCATCACAACTTCAATAGGCAGGGTCTCCTCGGCGGCTGGACAAGCGCTGCCCTCCTGACATGCTACTGTATACTTGTAGTAGTCCCTGTGGTCTACTCGGACCTTCTCATCTGAGCGTGTCACTTGGCCACATGTCACCCCTCGGGGGTCAGAGGAGCTGAAATCAAAGACGGACATCATTACTGTGGGGCCCATATTTGCTGGTGACTTCCTATGGGTCAGAGCTAGAGAGCCAGCTGGGGACACACTGATTTCTCCCCAGGTGTAAGACACTGCTCTCTCCAAGAGGCCACGCTCTGCCTCAAGAGATGGTGTAACTATTTAATGACAGTTCCACGTTTCAATGCCTCTGGCCTAAGTGAATCTGGAAATTTTTAGATCTTTGGTTAATTTCCTTACTAAGAATTTTAAATTCATATTCCCCATTTGAATTAGAAAATCGGTACATGCTAAATATGAAAATTAAAAAGCTAAAGATACCTACAAAGGGATTGTGTGCATCTTTTTTAACCCTAATCTTATTCCCCAGACAAAAATAGTATTCATAGCTGTCTCTCTCCAGAGCTTTTCAATGAATATTCAAAGCAATCCCATCTTCACCCGACTATATGCACACATACATATATTGTTAATATATGCACATATTGATTTATTTCTCAACTACATTATAGATTATAAATATCTCTTATTTATGAAATAAGACGGCTTTTTCCCAATGAACATATTTTGGAGTGCTCCCCACTACAGAACATAGATTGGGTTGTTCATTTCAGTATCGCACATCTAACCAGAGTGTAATGTACACATTGCATTGAGCCTCTTCCTGCTGATACCAAAGGTGTCATAGTGAACACTGCATCTATGTATGCCTTTGTGCACTTGTCTCAGCGTCTCTCTGCTAAGCATTTTAATTAAAAAAAAAATTTTTTTAAAAAGATGTATTTATTTATGCACACAGAACTGGGGTACAGGCCAGAGGCTCAGGGGTGGTGAGAGGATTCACCAGAGATAGAGTGGGGAGCAGAACAGGCTGACTGAGGGGAGCAGCAGGCGGGTCAGTAGAGGTCTGCCGTGCCATGTGGTCACCTCCGGTGTGGGGATCAAACTCATGTTGAAGGGGCTTTAGCTTCTCAGTGCTATGTTTTAACCCGCTGAGCCACCAGGGGGGCCTTAAAAAATTTTTTTTAAAGATTTGTGCATATAAGAAATGGGGTACAGGCCAGATGTGGTGGGGAGTGAAAGGAGACAACAGAGACAGAATGTGGAGTAGAGTAGGCAGATTTATTGAAATACACTGCTGAGGGGAGCGGTGAGTGAGACAGGAGAGGTCTGCTGCGCCATGTGGGTCACCTCCCTGGCTGGGGATTGAACTTGTGTTGCAGTGGCTGTGGATAGCTTGATAGTGCTGCACTTTAACCCCTTGCACCACTAGGGAGGCCCAGTATTTTAATTTTAAAGACAGAAAAGTGAAATCTCAATGGCTGGCTTAGTCTTGTAAACAGTGGCCAGGCTATGATGATGGCTGAGAGTTTGCTCAGTTATCTTCTATTTCTTGAGAACTCAGACTATGAGGGAAGGAGCCACACAGGAGGCCAATGCAGGGCCTGTATCCCAGGAAGCTGTTTTCTCAAAGAAAGTCCAAGTACGCTGGAGTCAGCAGAAGAGATTTACTGACCCTGCCTGGAGGCATTTCTAGAGGCCTCAACAGAGTTTGGGCTGGCCTTCACAGCTTTCCAAATCCAGGCCCTAGAGTTCTTATGTCTATTTTCAACTCTAGGGGTAAATCACTCGTAGCTTTGATTTTTCCCTTTATGCCTGTCAGTGGTACCAGGAGCACTAATGAGGCATTACCAGGGCACTTGGGTGAGTGGATTCAGACCGGAACGCTTTCCTTACATTCCAATAATATTCTATTCTACACATACATTCAGTCAGGAGACTGACTTGAGTCTCAAAAGTCTTTCCCCTACCTAGGCAAGGAGGGTAGGTTGGAAAATAATAGGCAATTGTTTTGTTTTCTCCCTTATCTTGACTGACTAGGCCATTGCTAGGTCACCCTTATTTTCTTAAGGAAATAGTTTTAGCAAAACACTGAAAGCCAAAGTGGTCCCACTTACCCTTTGCTGCTCTTCATACTGAATCTCAAGTCTGTACTGAGTGCTGTCAGCCACCAGCAGGTGAAACGACCGGAATAATTCTTTGCCTCACATTTTAAAAAGCTCTTATTTGGGGGCTCTGGATGAATAAAGAACAAAAATTCAGTCTTTAGGGTTTTCTTCCAGAAAGCCTTGGGTTGTGATTAGTCATAAGCCACCAAGTGACATAAGGTTGAAGTTCCTCCATTTATTTCCTTGGGGAATAATGCTGCTTTTCTAGTAGGGGTTGCCTGAGAGGATGCTGATCCTGCAGAGGCTACTGTGGCCTAACATGAGCCCAAGGCTGGCACAAAGGTGTCAAGCAACGCTGAGGGGCAGTATGGTTACCAACTCTCTCCTAAGAGATAGTGTAGGTAGCAAGTAACCAAGAAGTGAGACACTGACCACTTTCTGCTAGTCATCCAATAATAACACTATTATTTAAGGCAATGTCAAGAAAAATAGATTCTCCATGGAATACAACATGAGAATGAATATGATGTTTGATCACCCAAATGGTCCGGGAAAGCAAAGCAAAATTCAGGATCTGCATGGACTTGATATCAACTCATTCACTACACTGATTTGTCTTGCCTTTTGAATTCTTTGTGTCTCTTATGATGAAGAAGATGGACACCAACCCAGGGAATGGAGTTACCTTTCTGGTTTTTTAAGATATCAGAGGACCAAACCCCATCTTCTCTTTTGTGAAGCAACAGGAGCAACTGACTGAGAACGTGACCGCCTTTGTGACAGTTGTACTGGCCGGCATCTCCAAACTCTTTGACTTGGATGGTCAAGGTCTTGCCTGAGCCTAGGATCTCACTGCTCCGGTCTGAGGTCCAGGTGATGCCATCATCTTCGTCTGTATCGCAGGTAAGAACCACTGTCTCTCTAGGGGCATCTGGATGCCAATCCAGCTCGACCACATAAACTGGAGGGCAAGGAAGCGGAGAACTGCATATAAGCTCAGTGAACTCTGGGACTGCACCTTATAAGGCACCAGGGCATCCCTCTTGCCTACACACCCTGCTTATAACAATAAGTACATGCCAAGGTCATCTCAGGGTACTGGGCCCCACTTGGGCTTGGTCGTGGGTGACAGAAGCAAGGAGTTTCATTACTGCCATTAACTCATGAACTGGTCAGTGCCTTTTTTAATTAACCTTTGATTAGCTGGCAGACGCTGATACCCCAAAAAGGCAAGCAGCACAGGTCTCTTGCTGCAGGCCTGGTGGAAGCAAGAGGAAGTCCCTTATTCTACTAATACATATGTTATTATTCTGCTAACAGTTTTGATTTATCACTGGGATAATAAAAAAGAAATTCTGCATAATCTTCAGAGACATTTTAAACAGCCAAGACAATAATACTAGCTAACATTTACTTTCATTTTAGCAACTGTCTTCTGCCTTCACTAACATCTAAACCATGTAGTAGGGGTCACTTTGCAACCCCCAGTTTACAGTGGAGGACACTCAGGCTCAGAGATGACTCAGTTCAAGGTTGCACAACCTGTTTCAAAGGCAAAAACAGCCTTTGAACCCAAATCAATGTGAGTCTAAAAGAACAATATTTTCCCCAAAATGCTTCATCAGAAGTGAGCCACCTTAGTGCCAACTGCTGGAGGGGCAGGTGGAGGACACAGCTCTTACACTTTTCTTTCTTTTTTAAGATTTATTTATTTATGTATACAGAACTGGGGTACAGGCCAGAGGTGCAGGAGCGGATTCACCGGAGACAGAGTGGGGAGCAGATCGACCAAGTACACTGCTGAGGAGAGCAGTGGGCGGGTCAGGAGAGGTCTGCCGCACCCTGTGGGTCACCTCCGGGGCTGGGGATTGAACTTGCACTGAAGTGGCTGCAGCTAGCTTGCAATGCCTAACCCCCTGCGCCAACAGGGAGGGCCCAACTCTAATACTTTTCTAATCTCCATTTGGAATTTTAATATTAGGGTCATATGATGCAGCTATTTTTCTCAGTATTGCTGCACCAAATTCCCTATCTCCTTTCCTACCTGGCCCACCAAAGGCTCCATCTCTGGCATCTATGTGAAAGCCACACCAGACAAATGCTCCCCAAGGAGGGAGGAGTGCTGCCCAGCGTTGCTACCACCAGGAGGTCCACTCATGCTGGCGCGTTTTAGCCTGACCTTCCCACGGGGGCTGCCTGAGACTTCTGGCTTAGATTCTGGGGTCTCCACCAAGAATAAGGCGTGGCTGGTTACCGTTTTTCTCCAGTTCCCATATAGCCAGGAGAGGTGTTGCCAGCAAAACCAGGGAAACCCAAGAGAGGACCAACTGCTGCTGCAGCATCTGCAAGAGGGGACAGAGAGGCAGGGAAAGAGAAGAGGGAACATCAACATTTATTCAGTTTCCGCTAGAAGCCATATCCACACTCTGTGTACATTATTTTAATCTTTATTTTCCCCTATAGTCAGGTCAATGCGACATGGATTTCAGGAGCCTGATGCAGCTCTCCGGGTAAGAACTTTTCCAAATAGAGAAGTGCAGACTATCTGGAGTGGAAGGAGAGAACGCCAGCTGGCTGATATAATCCTCTTATTTTTTAAGATGAGAGTATTCGGCTGAGCACAGCAACAGGGCTTGTTGGGATCGACATTCAGAAGTTATTTACTTGTTACTTACTATCTAAAGGGCACTGAGTTAGAGGAGTTTGGAGGGGAAAAGGGTATTACCTGGCACTGGCTTTTAGGAAGCAAATACTTTCATTCACCAAATATTTACCAAGTGAGCATGTTTAAGTAAGTGCCTCACCTCTAGGTGGGGAGCTAAGCTACACCCCCGGATTGTGGAGCTCAGGCAGTGTATGCCATGGTGGGGAGAACTGCTGTAGTCCTGGGGGGGGAGAGGTGTCTCGCTGTGTTCTTTATCCCCTTTTATTATGAAATGCAGCAACTTTGGCAGCAATTTTCCGGAACGCGGTTTGTGCTTTTACCACTGTAGCATAGAGCTTTTGTCGGTAACTCCCAACAATTTAGTCCAAGTAACAACTGTCGTAAAGCGCTGGTTGCCACAGAGCATCACGAGCTTATAGTCAAGCATACAAGGGCTTGATTTCTGGTTCCACCATGCTCTGAGTGATACCCGCCGAGTTAATCTCCGAACCTCAGTCTTATCATCTATACAATGGACAGGACAACACTCTCAAAGGGTTGGAAGGATGCAATGAGATGCTATAGCTGACACCCAATAACATGTCAACTTGTACCTAGGGGAGGGACAGAAATAGCACACTGGGATCAAAGGAAATGTTCACAGAGGCAGTGCAATTACACAGCCTGTAAAACCCAGATGTCGGCACTCTGGGAAAGGAAGCAACAGATTCCTGGCATCTCTTGGCGATTCCTTTATACTCCGGGAGCGCTGGGGTTTCCCCCTTGGCTGCGTGCCCAGCTCCACCTCTCTGACTTCAGGTGTATTGGAGAATTTCAGGTGAGTTGCACTGCTGGGTCAAGGGTGGCCCCAGTGATGGTTCTAAGGTCCCTTTTAGTATTGCTTAGGTTTTAAAGATTTATTTACTTATGCATACAGATGGGTACAGGCCAGAGGTGCAGGGGCGGTGAGAGGATTCACCTGAGACAGAGTGGGGAGCAGAACAGGTGGACTGATGAAATACACTGCTGAGGGGAGCAGCGGGCGGGCCAGGAGAGTTTTGCCACGCCATGTGGGTCACCTCCCGGGCGGGGATCGAACTCATGCTGAAGTGGCTTTAGCTTCTTAGTGCTGTGCTTTAACCTGCTGCGCCACCAGGGAGGGCCTCCTTAGGTTTTAAACACACACTGGCAGAAGGTGGAGATGGTGATGGGAACAAAAACTGGGGACAACATGGAATAACCCCATTGTATATTACATGCAGATAGATATGAATATACAACTTGCATTTATACAGATATGCGACTTGTCTTACATAGATAGTTTATATTGTGTACTCGTACATGCATCTAATATAACAATACAACCCTTTAGATCAGCTGATTCCAGGGAGCTATACCCCACAGCCCACATGGCCTCTGTACGATAAATTTGAGTTTTCCTTTTTTTATTGACATAAAATTGATTTTCAACTCTGAATAATTTAAGGGCCACACTGGGGCCTAGGGTTAAGTCTCGGTGCTATCACTGCTAAGGCTCAATGATGGCCTGAGCTCGCTCTCCAGCCAGGGTGCTAACTCTTAAGACACAGCTGACCTCTCCTGTCTTGCCAGCTGCTCTTCTCAGCAGTGTGTTTCAGTACATCTGCCTGTTATGTTCCCCACTTTGTCTCTGGTGAATGCTCTTACTCCCTGCACCTCTGGCCTGTACCCTAGTTTTACACAAAAATAAATAAATAAAATCTTAAAAAGAATGCAAATATGATATAATTTAGGACAACAGATCCCCACATCCTCAGGTATCTGTTACCACACCCCACCCAGCACCAAAGCACCCCATAGTCCTTTACACTTTACATTTGCCCCCTCCCTCTTTCCCCTCCCCCATTCCAAATTGGAGAGTCTTCAGGTTTAAACTGTAATTTCACAAACTCTGGAAACCCTTGAATGAGGTATGGTGAGTGAGAGGATTCACCAGAGACAGAGTGGGGAGTAGAACAGGCAGATTGACAAAGGACACTGCTGAGGGGGGCAGTGGGTGGATCAGTAGACGTCTGCCAAGCCATGGGGTCATCTCTAGGGCAGGGGATCGGACTTGTGCTGCAGTGGCTTCGGAGAACTTCATAATACAGTGCTTTAACCCGGTGCGTCACCAGCAAGAGCCCATCAAGTTTTATATTTTATTACCGTGGAAGTAGAAAAAAGAATTTTTCTACATTAACTATTGAAAAGTATTTCCAAAAACATTTCTAAGAAGAAAAAAGAATTATTTAAAAATAAAACGAGAGGGCCCTCCCTGGTGGCGCAGCGGGTTAAAGCACAGCACTAAGAAGCTGAAGCCACTTCTGCATGAGTTTGATCCCCGCCTGTCCGGGAGGTGACCCACATGGCATGGCAGACCTCTCCTGACCCGCCCGCTGCTCCCCTCAGCAGTGCACTTCCATCAGTCGGCCTGTTCTGCTCCCCACTGTCTCTGGTGAATCCTCTTGCTACCCCTGCACCTCTGACCTGTCCCCCAGTTCTGTATGCATACATAAACGAATGAATGAATGAATGAAACGAGAGTCCCAGCAGGCCTGGCTGCCACAGGCTCAGGGCCCCACTCTAGACCAGGCAGACCTGCCTTGGCACCCCAGCTCTGCTGCTTGTGCCCTCGGTGATGCCGAGCAAGTCACTCGACCTCTTTAAGCCAAATATGCTTTATCTGTAAAATGGGCATTCGTGGTAGAGACAAATGATATGAAGCAGTTCTCACTGGGATTCGACATGGTGCCCAGATGAGGGCAGGGCTACCAGTTAATCGTCCTCACAGAGCCCTGTGCCCTGGTCAAACCTCTCTGTACAGTTGCAACATTAAACTTCTTTCCTGAGCTGTCTCCGCTACCACTTTGGGCTCCCCAATAGCAGGGAGCATGTTTGTTTTAGGTCACACTGTAGCCTCAGGATAGCATGGAGACTCTAACATAGAGGGATTTCATGCATTATGAGAAGTATATATACATTTAAAATTTAAAAATTCAGTGAAATATCAAATTACAGCAAAATGTGCTGTACAAAGACATTTAAAAAGGACACACAGCAGGTTCAAAATGGGGTCACTCAATGAAGCCCATGCCAGCAAACCAAAACTTGATACTGAACCTAATTGTGTTTTCAACATATTCCAGAAATGTAAACTTTAGCCAGACATGCTAGGCTATTCTGGTCAGCATTGGTGAGATGATCTATCTGACAGACCTCTGCCAACTCCTAACTCTACCTGAAAAAAATTCCCTTCCCTCATTGTGTCCCTTTTCATCTGAAAACACTTTCCATTTTGTACAGCTCTGAGGAGCTTCTTTCTACATGTGATTGAGCCCGATTTATGAATTGTTGAATAGAGCCAGTTACATCTTTATATTTCCTTGGTTATTATTATTATTATTTTTAATGGAGGCTTCCCAAATTCTTCCTGATATATCTTGAAATTCATATTTGAAAAGTGAGCTCTGAGCCCTGTCATCTCTATTAACATGGTATCTTAATAGATCATTTTTTTAAAACCTGAAAATTGTTGCAACCACTTTTACTTGGGCAGGATTAAGACATACATTTTAAAACTCTTCAAATAGTAGTTTTAAACATGACAGTTGCTTTCCATTTTTTAAAGTGGAGCCAAAGCAAGTTAATTCAAAAGAACTGAACCAATCTGCTTGTTGTCACAATTGTTAAATTCCCCACCAGTCTGGGGTGGAGGGTACTCCATAACTATAAGGAATAATCTGAATGTGATAACATCATTGAATTCATTATTAACGAATGAAAGACTTTAAATGTTTACCATCCTAAGCAGTCAATGCTCACTTAACTGTACAATCACTGTAACTGACAGGTATTTATATCAAAGAACACATTTTTGTATACATACCACTGCAAAACAAAACAAAACAAACTTTTCTAGAAAATGAGCATGATAGACCTTAGTATACAGCGATTATTGGTTGATACTTAAAATTAATACTTTATACATCAGTCAGCAAAGCACCAACTTGTCACCAGAGTCCCAGCAGATTAAGTCACCAGGAATGCTTCCAGAAACCCTCCCCCTTCCACAATGCTGGGCTTGTGAGTAGCCTGCTGACTGGAGCAGAGGCAGTAGAGGGGAGGGAGGAATGCTTACCTTGCTTCTGGCCAGGGTGTAGGGCTCACCAAGTCTGAAACCCTTGCTTCTGCTGCTTTACTGGTGCTGCTACTGGAGTTTATATACTCTAGCCAACTTTCTGGTACGAACTTGAAACTGACTGGTCCAGTTGCAACACACAAATCTCAAAACACTGGGGGGAATTTCAAGTTCCCCTTTTGTTTTTCTGTGTCTATCAATACACTGAAGGAGTTGAGCGTCAAAATCCTAGGTAATGAACTACGAGGAAATGAGCAGGGGAAAGGAAGGAGACTGAGTACTCCCATCTTTGGGTTGGGTTGACCCCAGGGTCAAAGAGTCTAAAGGCTGGTCACGCTAGAGGCTGAGGTCAGGGTTTCTAGCGATTGTGTGTTAATGAGCCCAAAGTCAAATCTCTGACTTTAAAGAGGATGAGACTAAGGGCAAAGGTTTAGCATATTGGGGCAACTTCCCTCCACATCACTCCTTGATATCTGGATTTCAGAAACATTACCACCCCATCGCATTGTGGCTCCAAGAACCCATTCTAACTCTTCCTTTAT